TTTTGCAAGCTCTGTCGGAGAGGAGTAAGACGTAACATAAAAGAAAATTTATACAACTTTGGCTTCAGTTTTAAGACTAAAATAATCCACTAACTTCTCCTATTGGAAGACTCTCTTACTTCTTATGTCATTGGTAATAAAAGACCTTTAAGATGGAATAATCTATTAAAACCTGAGATCATCGCCAGGTAAATTATTTAGTCCCATCAATGTTATGTTGTCATTTCCTCACCACTGAGATATGAATGTTCACAGTAATTCTTTCTGACACCAGTATAGAGATACCATTAGTGAAAACAGATGCTTTCTCTTATTCATCCTAACATATTTTCACCTTAATTTTAAGGAATTGGCTTTATAGAAATTTATTTTACAGGAAGCAGCTTTCTATTTTGTTCCTGTTTTTTTACTCCTCTGGTAGACTCAGACTCAGATGTTGCTCAAATTACAGTTTCAGTTACTGTCATTTGTACATACTTAGCCCACTGATCTCAAGCTAAAATATTAACAAAACATTATTGTCTCCATTTTTCTGAAGCAGTTTTCTTAAATACAATCACTATAATTTTAGTCCTCAGTCAAAATATTATAGTTTCTCTAAACAGCTGAGAAAGAGTACAGATGTTTTTCATGATCCAGAAAATTTTTTCTCTATCCATTGTGCTAACTCCTTTTCCTCAAAACCATCTTGTAGTTACAGATCAAAGAATAAAACTACTACAATTTCTAGTTTCCATTCAGTATTGTTCTTATCCTGAAATAATTTCATGTATAGCAGATTTCACTTGAATAGGATTTCATTTGAATTTTGTAGATTTCCTTTTAATATCTGCATATATTCTGATTTCTACAATTTATACGAACAACTCAAATTCTGAATTAATAAAATTCTGGTTTATTATGTCAGTAATAAGAATCTGAAAACAGATATAAGAGTTTCTTTATCCAAATTTCTGTTTTCATGGTTCATTAGCTTTTACTTCTGTTGTATTTGTAAATTTAACATCAAACACACAATTCACAAGGTTAAAAAAAATGGAAAGATATTTGCACAGAACTGAAATAGTAACCACTTAAGTTAGTCTTTTTGATAACACACTGCAATGATTTTAAAATTGAAGCTTCAAATATGCTCTAATCTTAATTTCAATAGCATTAATGGGAAGAAAAGTAACACAGAGACCGAAAACTGAGGACAGTTGATGTATCTCCTGTGGGCAGTAAGAGCTCAGCAACCGGATAGGGAATACCCAGAATTGATTTACCTCTAGATTTATTACACCATCACTTCTTCTAGCTCTTTTTCCAAGAGTCTTATGATATTTATTATTCAATTTCATTACTCCAGCATATATATTTCTCATTTCCTTCAGTGAGACCACATTTTAAGACTCTCTTAACTTTTTTCTTTTTAAGTAATTTTAAAGTATCTGGCATTATATTTCAATCTGAAAAGGGAATAAATAAACTGCAGAGTAATCTTTCAGGGAAGTTAATTCCAGCTATAAACTACAGCTTGATTAATCCTAACAGATAATTATAATTTCATGTTTGATATATTTACCAAATGCAAAATGAATGCATTCGTTTAGTAAGTGCATTGGAACTGCACCAGAACGTCCAATCCCATCAAATAAATTTGAGTATAAATTTCTGGTATAGCTAATCTTTAAAATATTGCTAGGATTAGTCTCTTTCAGAAAAAGAATGGGAGCAGCACTGCAGTCAATATTTAAAGCATTCCAAAAGAATGCATCTTCTGCTTGTGTCAATTTATACATGCTGAAAAGTCCCAGACTGAAGTGTTTGGAAATAACAGAATATGTTTTCTTGTTGCAGTTGATAGAAATCACCTGGTCAGATGGTCACTACCTCAAAATGTATTGCCTTGAATTTGGCTTATTGAAAATACAGGTGAAGATTAAGGAATTAGACTGTATTTTCAACTGGGGACTGTCTCATGTGAAGAGCAGGCAGGAGGAAAAGACATTATAGATAATAATTTCAACATGAACTGCCACAAATTTATCACATATGATATACCAAATGAGATAGCAACAAAAGGACAATATTATGAAGACATAGGGAAGGGAGTTTTGCCCATGTACACAGTATTATTAAGAATGCTGTTAGAATATTGTGTCAAATTCTGTCTACACACTTCAGAAAATGTGAAAATGCTTGGAAGAATAGAAAACAGAGACTCAAAACTAATCAAACAGCCAGGAAAAAAAGCCTTAGGAGATGAATTATTATATGTTAACTTACACAGAAAAATCTGTTTTGGGACAGGAAATTTTATTAGAATTGCAAACTGAAGTGTAGCAAAATCAAGCTATTCAATGCTAAAATTAAGCAAAATTCCATCTTTAAATAAAATGCCATTTCTAAACAGTAGGTGGAACTGATAACTGTAGCAGGATTTGAAAGGAACTGATTCAAGTCCCTTGAAATCAGAGACCTCAAAATAAGATTATTTTTTAAACAAACATTTTGTTTCTTTTTTCAAAGGAAGAATTCTACAATCTCTATAGGCAAATCTCAGAAGACTTGCTTAGTGGTTCTTTCTGGATTCTAAAACATAAAATGAAATAATATCTACTATTGAAGCTATAAATAAATAAATAAGTCGCTGATACATTTCATCTAGCCAGAGAAACCTTCCCTTCCTTTATGGTTCTGTAAGAAAGAAATGCTAAAGGTAAGGTGGTAAGATTTCAGATTTATCAGGCACAGCAGAAAGACAGAAGGAAAAGTGAATGATTTCTGTTTATTCCACAGGTGGCTCCAACCCAAACAGAAACCAGCAGATGCACTGGGAAGAGCTATGATTCCATTTCTATGCCATGGTATTATATGGTGCTCTGCTCTGCAGGATTCAACAGGAGCTCATGGAAGCTGATACAAAAGGCAATAAATTGAAAGCAAATGGTACTTTGAGATTCCTGGAAACTTAGGCAAAATATCTGTTCATGTGTGTTGGAAACAAAGTCAGTATCCTCACCAAAAACTCATGGTTTTACCAGCCAAGTTACTTAAATTAATGACATGCAAACTGTGAACACTGTGCTTGTCCCATCAATACTCATTCACCCAGATCTCCTGTGTTGGGTTTGTGTGGTGGAGCATTTTTGGTAGTGAGGGAAGGGTCACAGGGATGGCTCCTGTGAGAAGGTTCAAGCAAAGCTCCACTGGCTCCAGGCTGGGCCTGCCTCTGGCCATGGCTAAGCCAGTCTGCACCTCTGCGAGTTAACATATTTAAGAGGGGAAACCACAAGAGACAAGTAGAAGTGAGAAGTGGAAACAGAGTGAAGAGAATCAGCATGGAGAGAGGAGTGGGATGTGAGAGCAACAACAAGGCAGACACTAGAAGTCAGGAGGGGAGGAGGTGGGCCAGAGCAGAGGTTCCCCTGCAGCTCGTGGTGAGAGGGCAGGCTGTGCCCTGCAGCCACGGAGGGTCACGCGGGAGCAGGGATTCACTTATGGTCCATGGGGTGCCCCATGCCAGAGCATGATGCCCACGGGAGGGACCCACGCTGGAGCAGTTAGTGAAGAAGACTGAAACTTCTGGGAAGGACTCATGCCGGAGAAGCTCATGAAGGAGTGCCTCTCCCGTGGGAGGGACCCCATGTGGCAGCAGGATAAGAATGTGAAGATTCCTCCCGCTCTGAGAAGGAAGGAGCCGAGCAGCAAAGAAAATGTGTGATGAACTGACTGGGAAACTGCAATCCCCTGCCCCTCTGTACTGCTGGGGTGGGAGGAGGTAGCCAGGGAAGAAAGGAGGGATGAGGGAAGGTTTTTAAGATATGTTTTGTTTTGTCCCTCATTGCCCTGATTTTGATTGGTAACTGATTGTTTTTTAATTCCCCAAGTCGAGTCTGTTTTGCCCGTGACCATAACGGGTGAATGATCCCTCCCTGTCCTTGCCTTAATGCATGAACCTTTCCTTCTGTTTTCTTCTCCCCATCCCACCGGGGCAGGAATGAGTGAGTGGCTGTGTGGCCTTTTATTACCAGACGGGAGGGACCCACGCTGGATCAGTTAGTGAAGAAGACAAACTTCTGGGAAGGACTCATGCCGGAGAAGCTCATGAAGGAGTGCCTCTCCCGTGGGAGGGACCCCATGTGGCAGCAGGATAAGAATGTGAAGATTCCTCCCGCTCTGAGAAGGAAGGAGCCGAGCAGCAAAGAAAATGTGTGATGAACTGACTGGGAAACTGCAATCCCCTGCCCCTCTGTACTGCTGGGGTGGGAGGAGGTAGCCAGGGAAGAAAGGAGGGATGAGGGAAGGTTTTTAAGATATGTTTTGTTTTGTCCCTCATTGCCCTGATTTTGATTGGTAACTGATTGTTTTTTAATTCCCCAAGTCGAGTCTGTTTTGCCCGTGACCATAACGGGTGAATGATCCCTCCCTGTCCTTGCCTTAATGCATGAACCTTTCCTTCTGTTTTCTTCTCCCCATCCCACCGGGGCAGGAATGAGTGAGTGGCTGTGTGGCCTTTTATTACCAGCTGGGCCTAAACCAGGTCACCTTCTTCAAGCATACTCCACTCAGATCCAGACAAGCATTCAGAATATAACAGTGTATATTCTGAATATAACACCCAGGAACACTGTATCCTTTTTATTCTCATTTGTACTCTTACTTTTTTAATTTGACTGAAGGAATTGAATGTTTTATTTTAAAAAATACTGTGCAAGTTTTCTCCTACAGTTTAACACTAATATAATCAACCCACATACATCACAATTCACTTTTACAAACTCCACTGACAGGTCTTCAAAATAATCATGTCTTCTAAATTTAAAAGGTTGCAGTTTTGCTTTTAGTAATGTACTTAAATTACTAACATCCAGCCACACAGGCAATTAAAATTCAGAGTGCTAACCAAAGTACATTCTAGGAAATTATCTTCATCATTCCATGAGAAAACACTGCAGCTGAGAAACACAGATTTCCCCACAAAACAGTTAATCAGATCATATTTGTAAGCAACTTACTTGTGTAAGTGAGCTGAAATCCTTGGTCAGTATCAGATCCATTTGTATTAAACTCTATCCACAAATGGTTAGAGGTGCTATTAACGATAATTCCCATCATGTCATTTTTGGTGAAGGATCCCAAAGAGCGTGAAGAACTGTCTTTTCCATCATAAACCTTGTAGACACAAAACAATAGCATGAAACAACATCAAATCTAAATATTCAAATTACTTGATATTCGAGTACTCACAAAGGCTAACAGAATTATAATTTCTGAAATCAACGTTGAAGTAAGGCTGTAAGAGGGAAGCCCCATTCTATTCTGTTCTCTCATCTTCAAATATCAACAGCAGAACTGAGATATTAAAGTCAGTCTGTCACCTTTTATTTCAGACTCTGAGCCTGCAGTAATTTTTGTTTTGCTATAGGTTTTAAAAAAGAAAGACAGATCTTCAAAAAAATGTGTGAGTCTATTTCTAAACTAAGTGTAGAGATGTTCTTTATCATGTTACTTTATTGAAAGCTTGCAGACTAAATCAACAATATTAACCTCTGTGATTTTTCAAAGCCCAGAATGAATAACAATATACTCTTGATTGTTCACCAATACAGGACAAGTGCAAAATATTAGTATTGGCTGGAGAGTGAAAATTATTTTTGCTTATGCAAAACCTTGAAATCCATAAACTGCCAAAATAGTCTTCTGTGGTTTGGATTTTTTTTCCCCCCTCAGGATGAATTAATTTTTTTTTTTTTCTTTAAATGAAATAATTCACTTGTATTTTCTCATGGATAAATAGGCAAATATGGTGTGTGTTTCATACTTCTAAAACACGTACCACATATCATGTGGATGCTTATATGAAAGCAAGTAATGAAACTGAACAGCTGGTTTCTAATATGAAGTAAACTATAATTTACCCTGATCTCATATGTCTTAGATTGACTGTAAATATCTAGTGCAAAAGCTACAATTACAGTAAATATCCTAAGCTCTTGATCTTCATCTCTCTACTCTCAGAATTTGTGGTACAAATGAGGATTCATACTGATTCCAGCCAGAAGGCGGCAGTGACCCACTTAATGATCTAAATTCCTAGGTTTGAATCACAGATACTTTTCCGTATTTAAATGTCCAGTAAGATCTACTAATGAAATTTAGAAATGCATCATTTGAGAGGACAGATCTCTGCAACTACATTTACGGATGGTGACCAATATTTAAAAGCCAAGCTATTTTCTCAGTGGAGAAAATACAGGTATATGTCTTGAAAGTACCTCATACACCTCAAGTGCTGACGTCAACAAAATAAAATAATAAAAGCAACAGGCATAAGAATTTTTAAATATAAAAGCATAAATTTATTTAATAAACATTCACAGATATGAATACTGACCTTCCCTAAAAGAAACTTTCAAAAAGAATATATTATGCTAGCGATTGATAAAACAATACATTCTGTCCTTATTACCAAAGCACGTAGATGAGCTATCAGAATACATAATTTAAGATTTCTGTGACCAGTAACCCGTACTTAATATCTACCTCCTGGCAGAAATATGTCTTTAAGCTTTATCTGGAAAAATTCCTCCAAGCTTCTACAATTGTCTAGGGCCAGAACTACAGATAATTTTCATGGACTGATTACACTTTATTTATCATAGTTGGAAATCTATTGTACAAAATAAATAGGCATTCATTCACCATGAGATTTATTTTTTAATAACTTTCTGATCATACATATTATGCAAAAAGCTCAGATATATTTTAGTGGGTTTGAGAGATATTATTTTGAATGGAATTATCCACTTATAACTGTCATTATTAAAAAATGCTATCTATGTTAAAATAAGAGATTGTTATTCATCTTTTAAAGGAAAAAATAACAGCTAATTACTACAGCTGTCCATTAGACATCCCGTTCCAACAGTGTTCCACTTCACTGGCTCTTACAGATATTCTTCCTACCTGAGGATCAGCAAATTAAATAAAAATATCTTTCAAGATGAATCCAGATACAAATGAAAACTATTTTTTAATTAAGGTACGAGGGTTTATATGAAAGCAGCTGTAAAAAATGCTGTAACGATTTTTAACTGGTGACACTTAGCCAGTTGTTGAAAAAATTACAGACATAACTACGTACACGTCTAGTAACTGAAACTATGTTACTGAACAAGTATAAGCATTGAATCTCCACTGTCTATACTGATAACTTGCTTGAACCAACCCTGAGAAACAAAAAAGCATTTCCTCTTACCACTAACAAATTCAGAGTGATTGCATTATAAAGATTTCACCATAAGTATCCAATTTAAAGAATTATGATATCTCAAGTGTCAGTTAACGCAGAGAGATCAGGAAGCTGAAGTACCAGTGAGTGAGAAAAGGAAAGGTTTGGGGGCAGCAGGGAATGATCACAGCGCTGTTTGGAGCACTAGGATAAATGTAGCCAGAGTATTCAGGGAGACCTCATTTCACCTAAACATTTGTGAGGAACTAAGGAGAGAAATGCTTGCTCTACTGCTGGAATTTAAGTATGTAGACAAGAGGACAGTGCTACGACTATTCATCATGTAAAATGTTCTAGTAATCGTGCAAACGTGTCTGCATCTGCTGTGGGAATGTGAAAACAGACACTCACCTGAAGGAGAAGGACAAACTGGGCAGGTTTTTTTAAACTCCGGTTTCTCATTCTGACAGTAAAAAGAAATTACTTACAACTCTACAATTTTCCTTAACTGCAGAGATGTTTATGGTATAAAACCATCCCAAAAGAAAATACTTTTATAATACTGCTCTAATGGTTTGAGAGGTAATTCCTGTATATCTTCCTGACATTGTAACACAACTTTCTATATACAACCAAACCTTTTGATTAAATCCTCATGGAATTCTTAGTGATCCTAGCTCAAACAAATAGTGACTGATATTATATACTTCATAAGACATTCACAGTGAGTTGACCTTGGCGTTATCAAGATTCTCTCACACATTTTTTTCTCACTCTTCTTTCTCACACATTACTGTGCAGCATTTTTTGCTTCCCCAGAAGCATCCCTAGCTTGGCTGTGGGGCTCAGCCATGCCCTGCAGTGGGGTCAGCTGGACCTGGCTGGTACCAGCTGTATCTGACATGGGGCAGCCCCAGCCCCTCCTCACAAAGGTCACCACTGTAGCCACCCTGCTAACAAAACCTTGGAACCTGCACTTATGTACTTACATAAGTACATACTTTACATAAAAAGCAGGGCAAGATATTTAGGTGGGAAAATGTCCTATATTTCAGCTCATGTTTATAAACATTCTTAAGGCTTAGTGCATCCCTTGCAATCTGCCTGCAAGGCAGTCTTGGGGCTTCCTTCTGTGCAAACACAAGAAAGAACAAGTCTGGTGCTTCTAACATATTTTGCTCATATTTAGGACAGTGTTAGGAAAGAAAACAAACTTCAGAAGTCCGCAGCCCTGCCAAAACTGTGGGAAAGGTAACCCTTTTGGAGAATGTCTTAATTTCACAATTTCTCAGATCTGGTCAGGACACGTGAAAATTTAATTGCCTCACATGCTCAGATCTCCTTCCCATGCAAAAGAGAAAAAGTAGGAGGGAGGAGAGCAGATGGAATATATTTGCCTAAACTAGGCTATAACCAAAACATGCAAACACAGTAAAGGCACATTTCTGAAACATTTCAGGTAAATAAAATAATGAAATGAAATGAAATAATATTAATCATGTTAGCTGAGAATGAACTCATCATTCTTGCTGAAAAATTAGGTGCTGCAGTCCATAAGGTATTTCCCCTTTACCTGTTAATAAAAAGGCAAATTTCTTAAAAGAAAAAGGAAAAGGAATTCAATAGTGAATTCTGATAAATTATTGAAGACGGCAAGTGTATGAAGAAGAAGATATCACTACACACGTGTAAAACCAAAATCGACAAAGAGTCCTGAAAGTGATGTAGCACTGAAATATGAGAGTTTATAGAGAACTGAAGAAGGCTAAAAACAATGTATAGGACACTGTTTTACCTCTGTATATAGTACCACTTATAGTATCCATTTATACTATTCATCTATACTACTCATTTCTTGAGTCTTCTGTATAGTTCTGGTTTGTACATGTGCAGAAGGGTGAAACAGAGCTGTGGGAAATGCAGACAGAGGCAATGATTGAGGAATATGTGCCACAGAAGCAGAGAGAAGCCTGAGCAGGGATACGATGAAGGATTGCAAAACCATGAAGGCATTTGAGAACGTAAATAAAAAACCATTCATTAAATTCTGTATTGTTACAGCAAAGGAATACTTAATTAAACTTGAAAGAAACTACTCTTTTTCAAAGTACATAGCAAACTTCAAGGATTTGCCATCACAAAAGACATATCTCGTCGTATATTTTGTAGTATTGACTGATTTAAAGGACTATCAAAATTTGAAGAAAACAGGTCTGTAGAATAGAGACAGCAAAGTGTGGTATAATTTAACCCAGCAGCTGTGGATGTTGAGGGAACATAAGGACAGTGGAGAACAGACAATGGCCAAGCTTGCATATTTTACCTAAATAAACCCCCCTATCACTATTATCAGGGAAAACATACTGAGCTAGATGGACCATGTGGTTCAACTCAGCAACGTAACTCTTATTCTAAGATAACTGGCATTGTTCCAGAAAACAATAATTCTGCATGCTTGCTTCCTATGCTGGAACATTCTCTGCTTTCAGCTAGTACATTTATATCATCATTAAGCGTCTTTTTAGGGGTAATCAGGCAGTCAGTATTCTCTCATGATGCATGGCAAGACTGGAAACATTTCTTTCCGCCTAGAAGAATCATAGAATAGTTTGGGTTGGGAGGGACCTTAAAGACCATCTAGTTCCAACCCCCCTGCCATGGGCAGGGACACCTTCCACTAGACCAGGTTGCTCAAAGCCTCATCCAGCCTGGCCTTGAACACTTCCAGGGATGGGGCATCCACAGCTTCTCTGGGCAACCTGTTTCAGTGCCTCACCACCTTCACTGTGAAGAATTTTTTCCTGGTATCTAATCTAAATCTAACCACTTTCAGTTTAAGCCCATTACCCCTTGTTCTATAACTACAGGCCAGGCCCTTGTTAATGTCTCCCTTCATCTTTCTTGTAGGCTCCCTTCAGGTATTGGAAAGATGCTATAAGGAATATAGGTATTCTATAAATATAGGATATAAATATTCTATATCTATAGAATAACTCCTATAAATCAACTAAAGAAATCAGAAGCTGCATGGACAAGTTCAGAAAACATGAATACTAGAGATACTTTAGCCACTAACATAAACAAAGCTAGGATACTACCCTAGCGAGTCCAGAGGAGGACCACGAAGTTGATCAGAGTGCTGGAGCATCTCTCCTATGACGAAAGGCTGAGAGAATAGGGCTTGTTCAGCCTGCAGAAGAGAAGGCTCCGAGGAGACCTTATTGCAGCCTTCCAGTACCTGAAGGGGCTACAAGGAAGCTGGGGGAGACTTTTTACAAGGGCCTGTAGTGATAGGACAAGGGGTAATGGGTTTAAATTGATTAAATTGAAAGTGGGGAGGTTTAGATAAGCTATCAGGAAGAAGTTCTTCATAGAGAGGATGGTGAGGCCCTGGAACATGTTGCCCAGAGCAGTTCTGGATCCTCCCATCCCTGGGAGTGTTCAAGGCCAGGCTGGATGATGTTTTGAGTAAGCTGGTCTAGTGGAAGGGGTCCCTGCCCATGGCAGGGGGGGGGGGTCGGGAGGGGGTTTTT